GTTCTTGTGTTCTGTTAGCTGCATCTTCCCTTATTGGAGTAGCAAAAATAGTTTAAACTTGTGTTGTTTTTAGTTCTGCTAACGTGGCCGGCCTCAAAGACCCCTCACCTTCAAGAATGATCGCTGGAGATAAGGGGGCAACAGCAAAGTATTATGAAGAAAGTAGATGGTGCCCCGCTATCCATCAGAATAGTGTCTCGGGTCTAAAAGCTTTGTCTTCAACAAACAGGCACCTAAGGGATGAGTCAACTAAGTCCACACGGAAGAAGCACATCAGCTCGTATGATCTGAAGATGACAATTACAAAATTCACATACGGTGAAGGGAAAAGCATCAGAGATAAAATTATGAACACCCAATTTGTAGAAGACTTTGGAGGACCGTGGAAGCCTAAAATCCATTTGCAGGATTGAAACATGGATTAAACCTCTGGTGTATCCCCTCTACTCATAGTTCAGGGATGTCAATAGCCCTGTTATCAGACACAGAAAATTATAAGGTCAATTAGGCCATAAGTAATTAGATTAAAATGTAGCAATATCTTATCAATCTAACTCCCTTTTGATTCATTCAAGGGTTGTTTCAGTTAAAAAAAATAAAAGGAAGGGAAAATACACATGAATTGAAGCCCGGGATGAATGCCCCTGACCTTGGAGTAGAGATGTGAGTAGCCTTGCTGTCATGCAGAATATATTGGAAAATGGATTATTGCAGAGGCCGTTACGTTAAAACTTAGTACCTTATCATTTGACCTCCCTTATGATGTATTTAAGTTTGTTCTATTTTTTAATATGTTCACCTTTTGGTTAAGGTTTTATCTGTTTTACTTTGTTATTGTTTGTTTGTTTTTTAGTGTTTCCCTGTATGTGAAATCTAGGAAGCTAAATCTATAGAAATAGTATCTGAATTAATGGTACCTTGGGGGTAAGGCAAGGGGAGCGTAGGGAGAAATGGGGAACTAGCAACGATGAGTGCAAGAATGTAGAAAATGTTCTAAAACTGATTGTGGTTATGATTGTAGAACTCTTCTTGATGTGATAAAATGATTGAATTGTATGATATGTGAAATCTATGTTAATTCAATTGTTGGAACCTCCTGCAATTGTGATGTGTTGATCTGCTACCACTTTCCCTTATCTTGCATGTCCTCTCTAAGTGGCCATGTCTCTGTAACCCTTAGATGCCATGGTGGCCTCCTGCCTATGCTTTTCCTCATATGGATGAATTGACATTGTCTTGGTCTTGTTTGAGACCTAATATGCCTCTATACAAACTATTGGATTTGAGGTCTCTTTCCCCCCTTACCCTAGTGAAGACATATGGCTCATAGTTTTCATTGTCTTCACCAGCAGGTCCAGTAAGAAAATACTTTTTTTTTTCCAATTAAAAAAAATCATTTTATTGGGAGCTCTTACATATGTCATAGCATTTCATAATTCAAATGGATCAAGCATAATCGTACAATTGCTCCTACAATCAGTTTCAAAACATTTCTTTCTTCTTGAAATCTTTGATATCAGCTCCCCTTTATTCCCTTCTCCCACTTCCCCCAAGGAACCCTTATTGTTATTGTTATATATTATAGTTTTATTATATCTATATATTTTTTGCCATGTCTCATCCCATCTAATACATCCATTCACTTACAATTCTGTTACTTGCTTCCTTTGAAGGGGTTATACATTCATCACTTTTTATTTTTAAAAATCGGTATATTGGGGGTCATACAGCTCTTGTCACAATACATATATGCTGTGATAGGTAGGTTTATTGTGCCAACCTGGCCAATAAGCACATGTGGGATTAATAAGGTTTGATTGGAGGGCAAAGAGATAAATGGATTGGGGAGGCCTACTTCTCTCTCTTGCTCTCTGGTGATTGAACTAGTTTATGGCTGCCTTAGTGAGTTTTCGGCCTTAATTTGCATTACACTACATGTGGGACACCCAACCCAAGGACCGTGTCTCTAGAACTTTAGGTTCCTTTGAGACCTGCTTCACAACACTGCTGGTGTATACATAGCTTGAGCTGGGGACTGTCAGATCCTGTGGTCTGGCTGACTGTTGGTGACCCGCCCCTGTTGTTTGCTGCCAGTGGCTGGCCGGCATGCCTGCATTGCTCTACAGAAGACTCAGTTGTCTGCTTCCTTGACTTTGGGCCCAGCAGCCTTGTGAGTTGAAGGACTTCCAGTATATTAACTGTTTGATGAAAGTGAGTTGAACTGAGCCCTCTGTACTGCTATGTGGACTAATTAGCTGTTATATTCCTTTGTGCAGTAAAGATATCTATATATCTATATATAATAATTAGTGTCTTGGTTTTGTTTCTCTAGAGAACCCTAACACACATGCATCCATTGTGTCAAGCACATTTGTACACCTGTGCCATCACTATTTTCAAAACATTTTCTTTCTACTTGAGCCCTTGTTATCAGCTAATTTTCCCCTCCCTCTCCAAGGCTCCCTCTCTCATGAACCCTTAATAATATATAAATTATTATTTTTCCATGTCTTATACTGACTATTGTCTCCCTTCACCCACTTTTCTGTCACCCATCCTCCAGGGAGTAGTTATATGTAGATCATTGTGATCAGTTCCCCTTTAACCTCCACCTTTCCCTTCCCCTCCTGGTGTCACTACTCTCATTATTTGTCCTGAGGGGTTTATCTGTCCTGGATTCCCCATGTTTCCAACTTGTATCTGTACCCATGTACATGCTCTGGTCTAGCTGGATTTGTAAGGTAGAATTGGGATCAAGATGGAGGGGTTTTGGAAGCATTAAAAAACTAGAGAAAAGTTGTATGTTCATCAGTGCTATACTGCACCCTGACTGGCTCATCTCTTTCTGGTGACTCTTCTGTAAGAGCATGTCCAATTGTCTACAGATGGGCTTTGGGTCTCCACTCTACAACCCCCTACCCATTCACATGGGTATGATTTTTGTTCTGGGTCTGATGCCTGATTCCATCAACACCTCATTATCACAGAGGCTGGTGTGCTTCTTCCATGTGGGATTTATTGCTTCTCAGCTAGATGGCAGCTTGTTTATCTTTATGTTTTTACGACGCCAGATGCTATATCTTTTGATAGCCAGTCACCATCAGCTTTCTTCACCACATTTGCGTATGCACCCATTTTATCTTCAGCGATGGTTATGGGAAGGTGCGCATTACATTGGATTTATAATAATTAAAAAAATTGTAATAGTGACAAAGAAATATCTAGAATAGGAAAGTGGTAAAAACAACATAAGATCATGCCACATAGCTACTAAAATTACATATTCACAAAGGAGCCTTGGTGGTGTGGTAGGTTACAAGTTGGGCTGTTAACTGCAAGGTCAGCAGTACAAAACCACCAGTAGCTCCTTGGGAGAGAAAGGAGTCTTTTTCCTCCCAGGATGACTGAGAGTCTCAGACACCTCTGGAGGCAGTTCTACCATCTTGTAAGGGCTGTGAGTGGGAAATGACTCAATGGCCGTTTGTTTTGAGAATAGGTTTTTGTCTTCATGTTCATTCCTGGAAAAGTGAATATAATTTTTTTCTTAAATGATGAATACATATTATTTTGTATTCATCATTTCAGAAAAAGATGGATACAAAATATAAATGCCCATAATTTCATGAAAAAATGTTAATAAAAATTAGGGTTCACCTTATTATTTAAATGATTAATTTTATTCATGGCTCTTACATATATTTTAACAATCCATACATCCATTATATCCAGCGGGCATGTACAATTATTGGGGTCAACAATTTCTAAACATTATCTTTCTTCTTGAGCCTTTTGCTATCAGCTCCTCTTTTTTTCCCCTCCCTCCCCACCCTGTCACCCTTGGGAACCCTTGATATGTATGTATTATTATTACTTATACATATCTTACACTACCCATTCTATCCCTTCAACACTATCCTGGTATTCAATAAACCTTGAGAAGGTTTATTCTGCTGTCATTGCTATTCATTCCCCCTTCACCCTCTTCTTCCCCCTTCCCTTCTGCTACCTTCTGGAATTATTACTCCCACTACTGATGATGAGGGGGTTTGTCTTTCCTCAATTCCGTATATTGAAAGTTCTCATCTGTGCTGCAGTACATTCTCTGGTCTAGCAGGATTTGTGAGGTAGGACTGAGATCATAATAGTGGGGGGGAGAAAGGATTAAAGAAATCAGAGGAGTGTTGTGCGTTTCCTTGACGATAAACTGCCGCCTGGATGTATTTTCTGCTCCGTGGAGCCCCTCTGTATGGCAATGCCTAATTATCCACGATGGACTCTGGGTCTCCACCTTGACCCCTCTCCATTACCTTGATGAAGTTGTTTATTTTTGAACTTCGGATGACTGTTTCCATGGACACCTCAGGTTCACACAGGCTGGTGTGCTTCTTTGTTGTGGGCTTTGTTGCTTCCCTGTTAGATGGCCACTTGTTTGGCTTCAAGCTTCTAAGACCGCAGACACTATATCTTTAAATAGCAGGGCACCATCTTCTCCCCCACCATCTCAATTTTTTATTATTTTTTGACCATTTTATTAGCATTCATCCACATATCATACAATTCAATAATTCAATCATATCAAGAAGTGTTGTACAATTATGACACATTCCATTCTAGAACATAGTCTTCTTCATAGTAATCATTATTATTCATGTAATTGGCACACTTTGTGTTACATAAATGTTTGTTTTCCCTTTAACATTGGTCAAATTCAAAGTAAAGGAAAACATTTCTGGTTTGGAAACATTTTAATTCCCAATTATTTCTGATCCAAGTGTTTAAACACAGTTATTTCATCATATTTTCCTGTAATACTTAGGACACTAGGTCTCTTTATTCCAACACAAAAAGAAATCCTTTAAAGCCTATTGACCAATAAACCATCCTGTTTTCAGCATATGTCAAAGGGTGGGGCCCTCAAAGGCAAAGAAGGAAGTTAAAAGATGTTAAATACTGGACTTAGGTCCTCCTGCTCAGTTGAGTGGTTCGACTTCCCAGTCAACATGAAGGTGCTCCTTATTCTGGGGTTTCTCTTCCTTTCAGTCACCGTCCAGGGAAAGGTCTTTAAAAGGTGTGAGCTGGCCAAAAGGTTGAAAGAACTTAGAATGGATGGCTACGAGGGAATTAGCTTGGCAAACTGTAAGTTGGCTCTCCTTTGTATTTCCACATATGGTAGTTATATGTGGGTAGAAGAACAGTAGGAGAGGATAGATCTAAAGAAAGTGTCTTAGATGCCTAATGCTGCTATAAGACATACGACATGTGGAAGGGCATCACAAAAAGAAAAATAGTTTAGGAGGCTTCCAGATAAAACACAGTTTAGGAGGCTTCAAGGTCAAGTTGAAGTGTCAGCTCTAGGGACCGGTCTTTGTCTCCTTTCAACATCTGTGGGCCAGCATTCCTTGGAGCACCCCATGTGTCTTGGCATCAATGGCCCTCAAAGTCTGGGATGTCCTCACTGCAGGGATTCCAGGGTCCAAAGGATACTCTCTACTCTTGGTTCTCCTTGAAAAGTCGTTAGGTCCTTAGTTCTCCCTAATCCCACTTTGTTTCTCTGTCTCTCTCTCCCGTTATCTTTCACAAGTTCAAAAGTGTGACTCAAGTAAGGGCTAACTTGAAGAAAGCTGGGACATGGCACTTGGAACCAAGGCCTGGCCAGACTAACACATACACACACTGCGGAAGAGGGGGGGGGGGGCGGCAAATCAATCAATGACCAAGAGGCTATTAGTGAAGTGGAATTTTTCTTTTCATATACTTGAAATGGTTTGAAACACAAACTGGCTACTGTAAAATAAGAAACAGCAGTTTGAGGAATAAGGGAATGAGAGGACTAAATTCCTTCCTTTCTTTGTGTAAGAGCATCCATTGTTCCACTGAATTTGCCCATTATTTCAGGCTCCATAGCACAAGTTGGCTGACTTAAAAGGGACAGTGGAAAACCCTGAACATCTCTGTCAACCCCTTAATCAATTCTAGCTATTTTCATTTTGTAATTTAGTTCTTGAGAGCCTAGAGTGATGGATTATATTGTTATAACTCCCCTGCTTTGACACGAGGAGCCCTGGTGGTATTCTGGTTACTCATTGGGCGGCGATCCACATGGTCAGCAGTTCAAAACCACCAGCAGCTCTAAGGGAGAAAGACTGGACTTTCTATTCATGCACAGATTCAAAACGCACAGAGGGTCACTATTACTCAATACAGACTCGATGACACTGAGTTTGAGTGAGTCATGATACAGGATTTTTAATAATAACATAAAAAAAATGATGCTGAGCTCCCAATACAAAGGCAATCAGATTCCATTTGTCCTTAGGATCTATATTACATAATGATCCCTGGACGCAGCGTTAATGTTATTTTTTATTAGTCTTATTCACTTGATTAATAAATTTTCATTTTCTTCCAGATACTTCAAAAGGTGCCCTATATTAAAAGTTACTCTATACTTTTCAGTTGGAATTCACATATTTCCCCTCAGTGACTAGTTTTGAATAATTAAGTGAATTAATGATTCATTGATGAAATATTCCTGTTCTGTCGTTTGACTTGCCATTCAACATCCCTTTGGGGATTTTATGGAACCATCTGCCTCTCAGAAAACTCTTCATTTCTTTACTCAAAAGCATTTGTCCATCAGCTGAAGAATCCGTGGGTGGTGCAAGTGGGTCACCGCCTCCGCTGCTAACTGAGAGGGTGGGGGTGGGGGTCCACTCAGAGGTGCCTTGGAAGAAAACACAGTCGTTCAGAACCCTGTGCAACACTGTTGGACTCTGATATGCACAGGGTGCCCATGAAGTGCACATTTAGGAAATCCCCTAAGCAACTCTGGCCTAGTCTCTTCTGCTCTAGGCTGACCGTTGCCTGAGGGATCCGAATACACTGCTATCAAGTCCATTCGAACTCAGAGAGACTCATAAGGACCAAGTAGTAGTGCATCGTAGGGCTCCTGAGATTATAAACCTGCCTGGAGCAGACAGCCTCAGCTTTCTCCCAAGGAGTAGCTGGTGTGTTTCAACTGCAAACTTCGGAGTTCCCTGCCGGGCACTTGACCCACGGCACCACTAGGGTGCCTGAGGAGTTTGCAGAGGAGAAAAATAATGGAAGAACTTTTATAGTTTTAAAAGTATGTTTTCTTGTTCCATTAGTCTTATAAAATTACCTGAATGGCAATTAAGAATCTTGATAGAGGACCATTTAACAGTAAGAGGAACGGGTGTGGCTTCGTGTGTTGAGTGTGACACTGTGAACAACAAACTCATTGGTTCAAACCAACCAGCCCAACTGAGGGGGAAATATGAGGCTATCTCATGAAGACTTACTGTCTCAGAAACCCCTACCCTGAGTTATTATGGGTAGAATCCACCCTGTAGTGGGGTGGTGGTGGTGGTGGTGGTTTGGGGTTTGTCTCTTTGAAAAATGCTGAAGTATTAAGATATTTTTCAAGTTGAATACATCTTTATACACACAGTGTGAGTGATTTGGTATTGCTTCCTTATTACTTTTCAGGGATGTGCTTGATCAAATGGGAGAGTAGTTATAACACCCAAGTTAAAAAACACATTCGAGGCAAAAGCTCAAACTATGGAATTTTTCAGATCAATAGCCACTACTGGTGCAATGATGGCAAAACCCCAAGATCACGTAATGCCTGCCGTGTATCCTGCAACGGTAAGACTAGTTAAGGCTGAGTGGTGCACAGGACACATCTGGTTATACTTCCCAGAGATTCAGTGCCAATGTGAGAGGCTCGAAGGGCTTATCAGGGACACAGAAGAACTCCAGCTCAAACTCAAGGGAATTTATTGACTTTTGTGGATTAAAAAATATTTGGTTGATCTCATGTAAAATAATATACAGATGTTTAATGCATAGCATTACAAATAAGTACTACAAAATTGATATGATTATATTTTAAAATCTTAAATCTCTAATAGAGAAGATTACTTTTAGAATAGTTTGTTAAATCTAGTTTTAACTTTTTGGAATTACATAATCATCTGTGGCCATTGAATAAATACTAGGAAATACTAAGAAACAAAACTGCATAATCAAACATGATTTACTTTGGGTATATATTTTTCTGTACTATGTATCATTCATGTAAATGAATGTAAAGCTGTATCATGTGCATGGTTACACACATATATATATGTCAACAATTTCTTGTGAAAATGAAATTGTCTACTGCTTTACAATATGCTTTTAATTGTTTATGGAGCTGTGGTGGCACAGTGAGTTGAGTGCTGAGCTGCTACCCAGAAGAGCTGTCTGCACCTGTGCAGACTCAGTCTCTGAGACCCTGAGGAGCAGGGCTGCTCCGTTCAGTGGGGTTGGACTTGATGCCTAGGGTTTGCTTCTTTTTTCTCTTTTTATTGTTTAAAGTGATCTCTGTGGTAAGGCATATTACCATATTTGAAAGATGAATAGAATTTCATCACACAGATATTTCACTGTTTATTCATTCAACTCCTGTTGGAGAAACTTAAATAATTTCACTTTTCCTTTTTTAAATTACTATGGAAATCCTTCACTGAACCTTTGGGTTTGCTCCTATTTCTTTCCTTTTCTTAAAAATCATTTTATTTGGGGTTATTACAGCTTTTATAACATTCCATGCATCAATTATATCAAGCATATTTGTACATTTGTTCCCATAAACATTTTCTAGACATTTACTTTCTATTTGAGCCCTTGGGGCCCCACTATTTCTTCAGTGATTTCCTAGAAGTTGTATTTCTAAATAAAAAATTACCGGGCTGTTTTGTTTCTTTTTTATTACACAGGACACACAGGACCTACGACTGAATTAATGAATAATTTGGAACTTTTTTAAAACTTTGTGAATAATAAACACATTTGTTTGTTTTATGGCAAATGTGATAGTATGAAGATAAATCTTCCCCCTATTCTTAGATAAATGGATCCTTGTATGGTGTTCTTTCCTCAGCCCAGTAGAGTAAGCTATTTACACATAAGCATATAGTAAGATTTCCATCAAAGTTGTTTGATGTCTCATCTCTTCTTTTTCAGCTCTGCTAAAAGATGATATCACTCAAGCTGTAGCATGTGCGAAGGAGGTTGTGAGTCGTCCACAGGGCATTAAAGGATGGTATGTTTTCAGGTGTTAAAGGGGTGAATGGTGGCGGGTACGCATTGGTCTACTAAGCACAAGTGGGCTGTGCATGCCCAACGAGCCGCTCCAAGGGAGAAGATGAGGCCGTCTGCTCCTGTAGAGCTTTACAGCCTCAGAAACTCTATGTATGATCTGCATGAGTCAAAAAGACTCAAGGGAGTGGAGTGTTTGGGTTTGATTTTTTTTTGGGGGGGCGGTTATTGATATGTGCCGAGAGCTGTATTTTAAAGGCCAAACTATGCTACTAAGAATTAAAATTGCACCTTTAGGTTTATGCTGAGCAATTTAAGACCTCAATATTGGAAGAGATAATCTACCTTAACTAACTCTACCTGTGAATTCCACATTCTTATGCTCTGGGGAGGCCTAAGGAGGGAGTGCAGTGCTTTGTCTGCATAGCTGCCTTTAATAGACAGTAATACCTGATTCTGTGCATAGACTATATTTTATTTATTGAAAAAAATACTTTTCCATGACAAAATTTGAAGGGTGTGTATTACGATGAAGGGATCTTAATTAACCCTTTCACGGTACGTCTTCCCTTTTGTTACAGGGTGGCATGGAGAAACCGTTGTGAGAACCGGGATCTCACTCAATATGTACAAGGCTGTGGAGTTTAACTGTGCACTCTTCTGACTTCAGTGCATCCTTGCCTCCTTTCTTTTTTTTAACAGAATATTCCATTTATTGTGTATCATTTTCTCAAATACAGAAGCACACCTATTTGAACTGATGTTTGAGTGAAAATTGAAAAGCAAATCATTATTTTCCATCTCTTACACAAAAGGTAGCTTTGCAATGACATGTTTTAGAGAATTAATTTTCCTGGACTTTAACAGTATATAAAAACTCACTGCCATTGGCTCATTTCCAACTTATAGCTGCCCCTGTGG